CCCCAGACACTACTCACCAAGGTAGAATGTAGAACATTGTCTTTATAAACTGTGTTATGCCAATTGAGCTAGATGTTCCCCGAGACCATGATCCCCAGAGCCCTCCGCGCTTGACTGGGCTGCTTTTAAGTTGTTCAGGTACTTGTTAGTTTTTGGGAAGCTCAGGAGAAGGTGTTTGGGGACTGTGCAAAGGACCTTGACTTATCCTTATCTCCTGCCTGGGGTCTTGCTAAACGGCGGTCTAGAGAGGGAATATGACAGAGAAAAATAGCCTAAGACCCACAGCTCAGCTCGGAGCTGACAGCACAAGGGGAGAGAAGAGACAGTGCCTTTAGATTCCAGAATGCTTTTTCCAATTTTCATGTTATTTTCTTTGAGATAGTCCTTTATATGCATGGGCTAGGCAATACCTTCATTTTCCAAAATTCTGGAATATTGGGCTGTTTCTTCAGAGCCATGTGACTAATTACTGGTAGGGGTGTGTCTAGAGCCAGGGTCTTTTGGCTTCTTCTTGAACTTTTGCTCTTTCCTTTAGATCATGTTTGGAACAGACCAGACATTTTGATATTTGACCTTCTCAAGCTCCCAAAGCCAGAACAAGGTCTTTTCCTAGCTTTATCCCCAGAATATTTAGAATTTCTGCATCAACTAGGTCATGATCCCTTAGGAAAGCATTCTTCTTACACCCTGTATGTTTGTGAAGTTTTTCTATTTCTCTAGAGATTAGACTGAAGGAAAATGAAGAGCATCAGTGACTGCTGATATCACCTCAGCCTTTGCTTCAGGGTCATTTCTGCTAACTGCTGAGTGCATTTTTCCCTCTTGATAGACAGAAGATAGAGTTGGCTTTCCTCTGCCTCTGCTTCTCCAAATGAGCCTGTTTGTTTAGGGGCAGGACAGCTCCTCCTCTTGTCTCAGATCTGCAGGGGCAGTTCCTTAAGACAGTTTCTTTGGGGAAACCACCTGATTTGTAGGTAAATGGAGGTTTTTTTTTTTTCCTTTTTAAATATATATGTATATATACACACACATACATTCTAGTGGCTATTTTTACTGTTAAATAAAGTGCTAAGTATCTATCATAGTCCAAATTTGTCATTGCTTTGAGAAGACTTTGGTTATATTTTAGAAAGAAACTTTTAGAATATCTCTGCATAGGTCTATAGTGCATAATTTCTTCCACAGTATAGAAACATTTTTGTTATTTTTGTTAAAACAATTTAAAGCAACAGTTATTTTGATAATATGGTAGATCCAGCTGTTGTTGTAAAAAATATTAAATTGACTGACCTTCTTTGATACTAAAGCCAACTATAAGCTCCCAGGTGTGAACAAAATATTCTGAGTTTCAGAGCCATTTTAAATCTTCATTTATGAATGACATGCATATATTTGTGTGATGAATTTTGGTCGACCATAGTAATAGAGGTTCCGTAGTTGACTCAAATTTCTATTTAAAAAAAAAAAAATCCAGATTCTTGAGATTTCTTTATTACAGATTAGTCTTAATGCCACTTCTTAAATTGCAATCATATATTCTTAAAAGCTGCCTAAAGTATTAAGTTTAGATAGGTCTTCAATGTCTTTGGTATATTTCTATTTTATACAGTGTTTTAAAGTGATCTATCAAATAGAAATTCAGGCAGGCACTTAAGACACTTGAGTTCTTTATGTTTTTTGCTTACCAATTCCTGTGAGGTTTCAGTCTTGCTCATTTTCATTAAGACTGATTCTCAAAGGGGGGAGTGTAAGAGCACAGATAAATGTGAGACCGAGTCATGGCTCTGCCACCTGGACTGAGGAACTTAGGCAAGTTCTTTAAACTTGCTGAGCTTTACTCTCCTCATTTCTACAGTGGGGATAATTATATACTTTCCTAAGTTTGGTAGGAGTACGTGTTTAAAACATTTGACACACGATAAGCACTTACTAAATGTTAGTTGTTTTTATTTAGATGAGACATGGTGAATGAGTGCTTAGTATTCTTGATACTGTTGATGCTACGTTTTATAAAGAAAATTTTTTTTTTGCAAGTTAACACAATGATAACTGCTTTCAGCAACTGCATCACTGCAGTAAACAGATCCTTAACCCTGTCCTAGATGTCTGCATGGTTTTCGAAGTGCTTGGCCATCATCTCCTTAAGTGGATCATCAAGTCCAACTACCAAGGTCTCCCAGTGCGTTGTGTAAAGAGTATCATTCGTCAGGTAAGGCTTATCAGGGGGATCTCCCCCCACCAATACCTAACTGGCTAGCCTTTCAACCTGAATTTGTCTTTTTTTTTTTTAATTATTGTGTAACATTTTGATCTCTTATTCAGTTAACTTTGTATTGTTTTACTGATGCGCCATTCTGTGTTGTAAAGGGTGTAAAATGTAAATGCCAGGTATACATTTCTTTTGACATATTGATCTTTTTAAAGGTAAGTGATATGGTATAATCAAATTATTTGGCCAATATTAATCCTGTAAAATATACTGCTTAGTTCCTTAGGAAATAACTCAGAAGAATAATTTATTGTGTTTATTTACTGTTCCTAACTATTCTTTGATGGAGGGTAAATCAAAGATGACTTAAGAAATGTTCAGGTTATATAGGAAGTATTGTATTAGGTTTATACTTTGTTCACTTGCTTTGCCAGAAGAAAACTCTTAGCTCTAGCCAAATTATTGAAGTATGCATACATGGAAGATCTCCTTTTAATTAGAAGTGTTTACCAGATTCAGTTTTCTGCATGGTATATACCAGTCTGTATTCCACATGTTTTCTATAGCCTAAGTTACATAAGTTGCAGGTATGACTGATTCTGGATTATGGATAATTCTGTAGGGTAGGTAATGTACCAAGGAAGTTGCTTGGTTTGCTTGAAAAGAAGACTAGGTGGTTTGGGGGTCCTTCCTCTGCCCCAGGTGCAGAGCTTAAGGTTAACCTGCCCAAAGGCTTAAAAAACAGACCTGGGTTCAGAATTCTTAAATAGGTTTAAATAGGAAAAGAATTAGAGAATGAATCACAATTAAAGAATTGTGAATTCAAGGAACGGGTGCCTAAAAAGAACCTTCCTAACAAGTGTAGATCATATGTATTTGCACACGTTTACGTGAATCGGTTTTAAACCCATTTATAAACATTTTAAGCTTAAATTTATGTAGTAAAAGCAATCCTAGACTTTGCTGTTGAAATTGAGTGTACATGACTTTGTTTAGTCAGCTTGTGTGCTCCTCTCTTCATTTACCTTTTGCTCCTTTGTACTACAGGTTGACTGCTTGTCTTCTGATTTTATAGATGTTAGTTGAGAAAGGGGTGCTGGAGCCCAAAAGGACCCTGAATTGACTCACACATTAAGATGCTGTACTTGTCGTACATAATAGTATATGTTAGGTATCAATACATGCCTAGTATAGATATATTTGTGACTAGCTGAAACTGGCTTTTGTTTAATAATGTATCTGTTTCTCTTTTAGATTTAGATGGTAGCCGTTTCATGCATTATTATGACATAGGCTAAGATCTCAAGAAAAAGCAATATTTTTTCTTTAATGTGGAAGACATGTGGTGAGGGGGAAATTAGACATGTTTATTGGAGTTATTCTATTCCCAAATGACATTTAGTATTTGTAGCTATTAATGGCAACTCTAAACTCTTTAAAAAATAATAATTTGGTAAAACTTTGAAGGAAACTCTTATCTGATAAATCCTGAAAATATCAAAGGTTTTACATAACTTAGCAAAAGGTAAATAATTTGAGAAAGACCAGCTTGTGCGTATTTCATGTAGGTTCTATTGCTCCCTTGAACCTGTACTTCAGAAATGGCTGCTGTTGCCATAGGTGACTGACCCGTCACCACTCTTCAGGCTTGGCAGTTTAAGAAGGTGAAGATTAGCAGATAAACCATCTGTATTTATTTACATTCCGGAGGGGGGAAACAAAATCTAATCTTTCTTAGTAAGTGAAGTAGTCTATAAATCAAAAGATGAAAGTCTTAGAGTTTTATGGAACCCTAATACATACTTGCTGAATGAACAAATTGTTTAATGAATATGTTACCCTCACTGAAATCCACGTGCCCTGTCCTTTGGAGACTGATAAAAAGTTTTGTAAGGTTTTATTGTCCCAAAATAATTTCAGTCAAGGTGGAATTTTGGTTAGGTTATGTGATCTGCATTTAGCTTTTGTATGCAATGTTAATAGAAGCTTTTGGGCATTGTTGGGTTTTTTCATTTGTTTTTTAAAATATGAACCAATCTTTGTTTTTATTTAAGAAAAATATGGAATCTGGATTGTTTTTTTCTAAACTTAGAACTTGCAATATAGCACATTGTTTAAGAAGTTACATCTCAGTTAATAATCTACATACCTAAATTTACCTTCATTCCCTTTGATTCAGCCTACAGTATTTTAGATTTTAGGTAGTACTGGGGAAGTCCTTTATTAATGAACCTATTTAATTAGATCATTTCCCACAACAAGACAGGGTAGGCTAACTTGCCTAATGTTCTTTCACTATATGGCCTCTTTCTACTTAGAAGTAATCACGTTTCAGTCAGCTTTGTTGCTCTTTCACTTGCCATGCTTCTCCAGTCACCCAGCCCCTGGTCTCTCCTGTGCCTGTTGTTTTACTCATGATGTTCTTTTCGTTTCCAATGCCATCATCCTTATTTCAGGCCCTCATCACTTCCAGCCAGTACCTTTTCATGAGCTTGTCCATACTCACCCTGCTTCCAGCCCATCCTATTCCAGTTCCTTATTCCAGTTTAGTCTTCTTTCCATTGCCATTTGCTTTCCTAAGTAAAACCTTACTTTAATCATTTATATTCCCTGTTTAGAACCTTTAGTAACTTCCCATTGCCTATTGCCTAAAGCTTAAAAGTTCTTGGCTTCATGAAGCAATAAAGTAGTTAAGGGCTTGGGTTTCAAAGCCAGATATACCACACTTCAGCTAAAGGGCTTTTGCCAAGTTACTTAACCTCCATAAGCCACAGTTTCATCACAAAATGGAAATAAGAGTGGTACCTTCCTCGTTGTTAGGTGCTGTGGAGTCAGTTCCAACTCATAGCAACCCAGTGTACAAGAGAATGAAACACTGCCTGGTCCTGCACCATCCTCACAATCGTTATGCTTGAGCCCATTGTTGGCAGCCACTGTGTCAGTCCATTTCGTTGAGGGTCTTCTTTTCTTTCGCTGACCGTCTACTTTAGCAAGCATGATGTCCTTCTCCAGGGACTGGTTCCTCCTGATAACATGTCCAAAGTATGTGAGATGTAGTCTCACCTTCCTTGCTCCTAAGGAGCATTCTGGTCGTACTTTTTCTAAGACAGATCTGTTCGTACTTTTGGCAGTCCAAGATATACTCAATATTCTTCGCCAACAGCATAATTTAAAGGTGGTTTTTCCTGGGTCTTATTCATCATCCAGCTTTCACAAGCATATGAGGCAATTGAAAACACCATGGCTCGGGTCAGGTGTACCTTAGTCTTTAAGGTGACCTCTTTGCTCTTCAACACTTTAAAAAGGTCTGTTGCAGCAGATTTGCCCAATGCAATGTGTTGTTTGATTTCTTGACTGCTGCTTCCATGGGTTTTGATTGTGGATCCAAGTAAAATGAAACCTTGGACAACTTCACTCTTTTCTCCATTTATCATGATCTTGCTTATTGGTCCAGTTGTGAGGATTTTTATTTTTTTTATGTTGAGGTGTAATCCATACTGAAGGCTGTGGTCTTTGATCTGCATCAGTAAGTGCTTCAAGTCTTCTTCACTTTCAGCAGACAAGGTTGTGTCGTCTGTATATCGCAGGTTGTTAATGAATCTCATTAGATTGTTGTAAAGGTGTAAAGAGATCTACTACTACTACTTCTGCTACTACTACCAGCAAATATTTATTCAAAGCTTTCTTAAATATTAGGCACAATTCTAAGTACTTGCATGTTTTAATTTATTGAGTCCTCACAACAAACCCATGAAATATTCTCCTGATTTTATGTGAGAATAAGTTGAGAAGTTAAATAACTTGCCCCTAGTCTGGAAGTAACTTAAACTAATAAGCAGTGGAGCAGGAATTCAAACCCAGGTAATCTTGAGCTCATGTGTATTCCATTTTGCCAAGCAGCATATATGTTTAGAATTGTTCTGGGCCTGTGTCCAATGAAACTTAGATTACTGTTATTCCCATGATCCTGTATTCTACTGGTGCCAGTCAGTATTTTCCCTTACAGACCTTGGGTTCAGCTCAACCCTGGCACTATTGGCATTTGGGCCAGATAATTCGTTGTTGTGAGAGGCTGTCCTGTGCACTATATGATGTTTAGCAACATCCCTGGACTCTACCCACTAAATGTTAGTAGCATTCCCCTCCCCCAGTTGTGACAACTAAAAATGTCTCCTAACTGTCACATGTCACCTAGGGGACAAAAGCGCCTCTGGCGGGGAACCCTTGGAATAAGGGAAAGTACAAGTTACATGCTTTGGTGACAGATTTAATTTCAAATTCTAGCTTTGGCATTTACCACTTTTTGACCCTGATCCGAACAGGCCTCTTGAGAGCTTGTTTCCTCATTTGTAAAATAGTGATAATGCCTAATTTTTTTGTGGAAATTGACAGTGAGGGGCTACTTATAAAACATCCAGCAGAGATACTAGCACAAACCACCCACTGTGTCTCCCCAACTCCATTGTGAGCACCTCGGAGTTAAGGATGATGTATTATGAATTACGTGTCCTTTTCTGTCTTCTTGCATATATTAGGTAGTCAAGAAATACTTTTGATTGGTTGTCTTTTCTTAAATGAAAAAAGAAATATATTCTCCCCTTATTCCTTACAAACTGGCTGCCTTTTTTGTGATTCGAAGGGCTCACAGATGAATGTTACCACTTGTTCATTTTCCGAAGGTAGTAAATTAAAACAGTCGTTTTCACAGGGTTTCCTGTATGCTGTCATCACCCCTTTGATAAGTTCCTTTTGTCCTCATTTAGCTGTGGTGACCTTGTGGTGGGTCAGAGAAGGGCCTTCCAGGGGTCTTCTGGTGATGGCTCTGAGGAAGCTGTGTGCAGCCAGCCCCATGCCCTCTGCTCTGTCCTTAAGCATGGAGTTTTCCCCCCTCCCCCTCCAGCTTTCATTTCTTTCAGCTTCATTGAGGTGTATTTTTTTGTCCAGCTTCATTTCTAACACTGAAAAAAGAAAAAAGGTATTTGTGGTGGCATTTTTTTTGT